GGCACCGAGCTGCGCCCCACAGACGCCTTCCACGCCTGCGTCGACTGCGCCTGGGCCGCCAGGGCTACGCATAGACTCGTCGGTCTCGTCACCTACTACGGAAAACATTATTCCACCTTCTTCTTTCATAGCAAACTTCGTCTTTGGATATATTTCGATGACGCTGACGTTAAAGAGATTGGCCCGGAATGGTCACAGGTTGTCGAAAAATGTCGGAGAGGTAGATTCCAACCGCTGCTCTTATTATATGCCGCTGTTGACGGAACGCCTTGTGATACTCGGCATGCGCCGAAAGAAGTTGTGCCATTTCCTGCTCCGGAACCTCGACGAGCGATCACGCCGGCACCTGAGAGACCAAATGCAGGTTTCGCGAGAAGAGCTGTTACTCCAGGTCCCGACAATGACAGCGAATACGTCAGTAGGAAAGCAGTAGAGAATATGCTCGATGTGCAAGCTAGTCGACGCGCTCAGTTAGCGCGAAGTTTAAGTGCAAGTTCTGCATCTGACACACAGGAGAGGCCGAGATCGAGAAGAGATTCTGGGAACTGGAGTGGTGATCGTAACAGTGCGTCATCAGCTTCATCGACAGCCGATAGTCCCTATATGTATCCAAGAGGACGCGGGCCTGGAAGTATTCCAAGCAGTCCGACTCGTAAAGGAGAATTATCCAGTGGCGGTTCTTGTGACACGGGATATGATTCATACTCTCTGTCTTCCACTGACAGCCTGCCCCAGCAACAAAATCACAGGCCTCCTAATTTACAATTAGCGCAAATACCAGAATTAACTACCCGTGGTGATTGTGATGCTCTGTGCTCTGAAGCCGACTCGTTACTAGATAAATCTCGTCATGCTGAGGACGCGGCGGACTACGAAACCGCTTTGATTCTTTGCGATAACGCCGCAGCAAAAGCACGGGCTGCAATGGACGCTCCCTACAATAATCAGCACACGATGACTGTTGCTAGAATGAAACATAATACTTGTGTCATGCGAGCTAGAAGTCTACAGCGAAAAATGGCTGGCATGACAAGGCCGCCTGAAGTTACGCTCGCCGCACCGGTGAGAAATACAAAAGGAGGTCTTGAAAATTCACCTACCATTGAAATTTATGCCACATTGCCTAAAAAGAAAAGTTCATCGAAGAAATCCTCAAAGAATATAGAAGACGATATTGATAATACCATAAAAGACCGTTCTTCTAGACATAAATCTCGAGACGACGAGAAAAAGGACAAAAGATCAAGAAGCGAAGATCGTGGTAGACCAAGAAAAGAAGTTACAATCGCTACAGAAAAAAAGGAGGAACCTGTAGAAGATAAAAAAGGTAAGAAACAACATAAAATTCGAAGAAAATTATTAATGGGTGGCTTAATCAGAAGAAAGAATCGCTCAATGCCTGACTTGACCGAAGGGGCAGATGGAAAAACCGAATCTAATAAACAAGATAAACGAGTCACTTCCATCGATGACGCCGAGGTGGGCAGAAGAAAGGATGAGGAGAAATCCAACTTAAGTGGATATCTTTCAGAGGGACATTTAGAATATTCCGCAGCCAGTGGAACTAATCCGAATCTCGAAAGAAGCAAGTTAATGCGAAAGAGCTTCCACGGTAGCGCTGGAAAAATCCTAACTGCAGCCAAAGTACCACCGCCTCCGCCCCTGCGAACCACTTCTCAGCTTAGCGGGACTAAGTTCGAAGCAGAAGTAATCGAGCATAGTATGCAAACTCGTCCGCCGCAACCTCTGCCGATTGTCAATCAAAATGAATATTCTTACATCCAAAATAATGAAGACAATGGTGGCTTTGTAGAACAATACGGTGATGAACCGCAATCACTACCGTTCCTACCGTCGTACGACGGTCAACCGGTCAACCATTACAACCGACTCGATGATTCACCGTCACAAAACTTTCTCACCGTTGTAACAAAGGCAATGGTGCATCAAGAGCAAAGCCCCGTTAAAAGGGACAATGTACCAAACATACAGCCGTCGCAAAATAATATTCAAAATTTGAGTAATGCTTTCGATAATGGAGTAGACGTTGTCGACTTCGCATTGCCAATGAGAAGATCGCCACCAATGTTTGAACTCCCGCCATATCCCAGCCCGATGAACTCTGTCAATCATTCCAGACAGCCCAGCGAGGAGTTCCCACCTCCACCTCCTCCGATCGATTTAACACCGCTACAGGATGAATTAAATAATATTCAAAATGTTAGTTCCGTGCAACACTATAATGAGGAAGATAAAGAAATTCCTAAGGGATCATTATTGGCACAGTTGCAAGAAAAAAGGAATCAAATATTGCGAAGCGAAGAATGTGCAATAAAACCATCACACACACAAACGGATACTTGGCTTAGGGAACTCCAAGCTAAACAAGCAAGTTTAAAACTTAGAAGATCGGGCTCTCTAGAGGGCCAACTTTCTAGCCCTGGTGAGAATACCGTACACAGATCATTTGAGAATGATAATAACAATGTAAGAAATATAGCATCCAGATTTGAATGTAATACGCAAAATGTTTCAGAACAAGACAGGTCCCATGTAGGTTTCATCGGTATGAGCGGTAACAGAGATGTCATCAACTGCTCGAATCAATCAAACGCAGGAATCTACAGCCGGCGTACCTCTTCATCCTCGATTGACCCCAAGCAAATGATTGATGAATATAGCGATCAAAAGTTGAGTAATACCAACAACATCGCTCCATACGGAGATCGATCAAAACCTAAAAAGAAATCTGTGTCGTTTTGCGATCAAGTCATATTAGTTGCAACAGCCGAGGATCAGGAAGACGACAGTTACATTCCGAATCCTATATTGGAACGCGTTTTAAAGTCAGCCATGAATAAGCCAGAGTTAACGACGATGCCTTTGCAGAACGAGAAACCGTCGCTGCAGAGACAAGACTCCTTTGACAGTCAATCATCGCGTTCTACGATATCATCTTTGTCGCAAACGTCATACGTACCCAACGAAACGGCACACGCCGAATATTATCGAGCTCAAAATTACCCGACGTACCAACTTGTACAAACGCGCCATCAACCACCTACTAATCAGCAAAAATTAGGCCTTCAAGGGGCCAATTCATCAGTTCATTCACAAAATCAAGGAGGTGTAAACAATAATAATCAAATATATCAGACGTTGCCAGTAAATCCGCCGAACGCGTCAAATCCAGTTCCATACAATCAACCGCCAGCAGCTTACCAGAATCACAGCAACGCGAGCCCACCGAGCTTTAGTCAGAATCCTGCGAATAGACTGACGCCTACAACTACGCAGTTCATGTCCAAACACGTGCCTAACCTGCAGAGGTCTGTTCCTAATACGTTTCCACACCCACCGAGCCAGCTTCATCCAGCCAACCAAACACCAAATAACGCTTACTATCATAGACTTCCTCAGCAAACGCAATCGTCGCTTCCCACCAATTATCCAACAAACCGACAATACAATCAAAACTTACCGAGTACCAATTCCACTTACCAAAGCGTGCCCACCAATTCCCCGGCTTATCAGAGCTATCACAACCCACCGACAAGCTACGCTAGCTCCGATTATTCTAGTCGATATCCCCAAGTGAATAGTACAAACCATTACAGCGCTGCGCATTCTCCCTACCAGCGAGTCCCGCCTCCGCACGGCGACGTGCCCATCGACACCTATAACAACAACAACTATCAGAAAACCCAAAACAACTACTACCTGGACAACAATAACACCCAGGGTCGTGTACAAGATGCAAGGCACTACGCTAACTCTCAACAACAGCGACCCAATTACAATCAGAATACGATCAATGAAAACAATGGGCTAAACAATGAGCAGATACCGCAATATCAGTACCAAAATTCTTACAACCCCTATCAACATCTACCACCGCCCAAACAAATTCAAAAGAAATCAGTATCATTTGAGCCGGGAACCAAAGGCGGCACGGATTCTCCTATACCACCGCAAATGAACTCGAATAATTTTAACGGTGATACGCAAACCCTAACATCTGCTCAAAAGTCTGTTTGCAGTTTGTGTCGTAAAAAGACTGTAAACCCTCCAGCCATGTACTGCCCCGATTGCGACTTTTATATGTCAAGGTTTAAACCTCGCTCATAGCATTGCGATCAAAATGTATTAAAGCACAAATAAATGTTCTCTATCAAGTTAGATTATAAGAAACAGAATGAAATTGTAGTTTTAGAATCATAAATTGACTGATCTCGTGAGTATTAGGTTTGTAATGCATGAAGGATAAATTAAATTGAGTACTTAATCATATATTTTAAGATTTTTTTACCTGAGAAATAAAATATTATTAGTAGTAAGGTAACATTATGTATTATATGAAGCATACATACATACTGAACGGAAATAAAGATAGTGAATGAAAATGTATTTTTATTCATTCCTTTAACTGATATCTATAGTCATAGGAACCCAAATTCATTCATCCAAAAGCTGTTCCAAAATCTTTTGTTGAGACCCTGGCCCACAGGAAGCATGACGAGCCTTCACTTTTTAGAACAAATCTGAATTTAAATCAAATATACGTTGAATCAAAATCAAAATCATTTTATATATTAAGGCTAATTATTTATTTTAAAAAAAGTAATAATTTAGGTTCGTAGTATAACCATGACATCACAAAAAACAGTTACATTCGAAGAACCATATTACTCTGCAATGCATTTAGAATAGTAGTAACTAAAAGTGTACACATGGCAATATTAATTAATAGCACAATAGCGCCCTTCAACTTTGCGGTTGTGGAATCGTTTGATTTCTTGTATTTGGCGCTTTTCTCCATATGTTTTCTCTTTTAATGTTTCATAAAATACCTCGAAGCTACTTTTGTACCTTTAGTTATAACTGCACAGTCCTGAGCTGTAAAAAAAAACGTGTATAACAATTTTATTTGACATAAATTAATTTAAGATCGATGCCTACCGTAAACTATTTACTATAAATAGGATGGGTTGAAAATAACAGATAAGTTCTTTATTTTCTTAATCATGTATTTTTGCCATCGTACAAAAACTGACTTTGGTAGGAAGTAACAGAAACTGTAAATATTTGCTGCTTGCAATACCAACCAATAAATGGCAAAAACATGAATTTGACAGTAGACATGTACTTAACTAAACTTTATAACCTGCAGATCAGCTCACGGCTCACATGTGTGTAGCATGTGAGTCAGCTCGCAGCTTAGCTCATTTTTGTGCATTCATATCGTTATAGCTTACGTTTTGAATTGTGAACTACGGAACGTTAGGCACTTTGCGGCTCATAAGCTCCCATAGTGATCACGGTGATTGGTGAACTGCCAATGTACTTCTTAAGAAGCAACTCAATGGATCTAGTCTTTGTGATCTGAACTTTTGAGTGTGTTCAGAGCCGATTTATACATATCTAGTTGTCAGTTCTTTAATGGCGATCGCGAGTGACGGTCAGTGAAGGGAAATTGACATTAAATTTATTATTTAGAACTTAAGTAGTTACCGTGTTTACATAAACATGACCGGAATTTTACCCACATACCAGCGATTTGTAAATGGAGTCCCCGTACCGTCCATTTCTCGACGGTCTTTTCGACTTCGAGAGAAATATTTAATCGTTTCTGTACTTTTGACATTCGCAATTGTATGGTTAGGCGCACTTTTCTATTTGCCAGAGTTCAAAAACTCGTCTAGTGTCAACGACAGTGTATATAATGTGTACAAACGTATCCAGAAAGCCGGTCCTGAGCTGCTTATGCCACCGCCTGTTATGCATAACGAAGTGGGAGAGTTTGCTGCCGTGGGAATCGTTCGTCACGGCGAAGAAGGGGATGATCCTCATATAGTCGAAGACAGAAATCGTCTTCGTGCTAAGATTGAAGAGGATATGGGTATGAAAGTGTTGGAAAGGCCACAATTTGATGTAGCACCGTCCGCATCGTCTTCCCGAGGTCCCAGCAAAGCCCCAGTGGATGCTATAGAGGAGCCTGCAGTAGATAACAATCCTGGTAATAAAAATGCATCACCTGAAGGTCTCAAGGAACTGGAAGGTGCAGAAAATAAATATGTACCTGTTCCTTTGAAGCCAAATGCAGATCCTGAGCTGAAGAAAAAAGTGGATACTGTGAGAGAGGTAAGCTTATGATATATAAATGACATAGGATTGAAGTATAGTAATTGTAATTTTATTTACTGTATAATGTTAAGTGTATTTATTTGCATAAATAAGATTTATTACTTTAATGTTTAAATTAATGTACCTAACAAGTGGCATCTGCACTAGTATGTCTATGGCATAGTCAAAACTTGTGCTATCAGTAGTGATATTGAATTTCTAAATATAGTATATTTTAAAAATCATTTGCAACAGCAAATATTAGTTGACTACTAAAAAACAACTCAGATACTGACAAAGATTAAGCAGGGTCATAGAATAAGTAGTTCTAAAGATATTTTTGACATTACGGGGTTTGTACAGATATATGAATGCAGAAAATAGTCACACTAAAATGTTTTAGGGTATATATAAATTATTGGTAAATATATAAATCAGGATATTGTAATAAGTTTTGTGTGAATTACACAAGGTCATTTAGTTGTTTTATTCCAGTACATTTATTATGAGGTAGTGTATTATTGTTAAGCTCTACGGAGCATGACGAGAGTATGCAATTGCATAGTATATTAACAGTTTATGTCATTATACAGCTATTATGGTAGATTCTATAGCATATGCAGCTATCTTAAATTATTTCTATAACCAAAATGCCTAATTTAATGAGCATACTTCTAGGTCTTACATATACATTATGACAAGTAGAGTTATATGAAATCATCATCATCATCACCAGCTCACTATATGTCCCCACCGAGGGGCTCGGAGCCTACTCTAATATGGGGTGACTAGGCCATAGTCAACCACGCTGGCCAAGTGCGGATTGGTTGACTTCACACATATCTTTGAATTTCTTCGCCAATATGTGCAGGTTGCATCACACTGTTTTCCTTCACCGTAAGAACGTCGGGTAAATTATGTACATATGAAAATTCGAAAAATCGAAAATCACATTGGTACATGGCGGGATTCAAACCCAAGACCTGTAGATTACAAGTCAAGTGTTCAAACCACTGAGCCACCGACGCTCATATATCTTGCTCTTATATGAAATAATTAATAAAATTCCCTTAAAAATGTAATTAAAAAATGAATATTAATTCTCATAAGTGGTTCAAATGATAAACTTGTTTTAACAATCATTATTTTATTAAGATTGATAAGATAATCTATAAGTAAAAACAGCAAGTTTTATAATCAAATATTGTTGACCCATATTTCTAAAATCCTCTACTATTTGTGCGAAATATATCTTTAATAGTGATAATCACAATGCAATTTAAATTATTGTTTCATGTTGCTTGTCTATTTAGCATTTATTGATTATTTTGAGTCATGAGATCATAGGAAATTCATACATAGTAATAGTAGTCGTAGTAGGGGCTATGGTTTCCTCAACTCCACTACTAGCGCGTATTTTGCGTAAGAAAAGGACCTGGATTACTCCAGCCAACCCAGCTCTCCGAAGAACCCCAACAAACCCTTTATATTGCTGGTGATCTCCGGGAGCGATCTCAGCGAACCGAGATACCTAACCCTGTATTCAGTCACTGCTGGGCAGTGTTGTATGAAATTCTTTCAACATAACCTCATGATTTACATTCAACAGTGTAAAATAATTATAAATGGAACTATCACACACCCTTAAACACTTTAATTAAGTAAAACAATAATAACGTTTTCTTGTAAATCTGTTATTTGGTGTTAAAAGTGAAAATCCTAAAAGTTTAAGAACAAAATCTTTACCTATTAAAAAATCCAATAAAACAAAGTTTTTAGTAGGTTATATTATTGTGTGACACTTTCGTCGGTGGTCGTTGACCGCACGGCGCCGGCGCACGGTAACGCAAGGTGCTTCAGACATGCGTCTGTACCAGGCCACTCCTTACGTTTACACTAAAACGCTAATTTATCTCAAATACCTTTACTGTGTCTTCCATTATAGAAGAGTAAGGGCCTGTCCCACCAATGTTTTTTTTTATTAAAAATATTGGGTGAATTTTTGTTAATTTACTTATATTTCCTTTAACCATTCCAACTAAGCTGTAGGCTTGTGCTAGGATATGGTTCACGACAATAGTCGAATGGCGGGATTCGAACCCTAGACCGTAAGATCGGTAGTCCGTACCTCAAACCATTAGGCTACTGAAGCTTATTTTGTATTGTAAATTGTCTGATAATAATCGAAGGTTAATATAGATAAAAAGATAAAATCAAGATGTGAAATTTTGTTCCCTTATGTACAGTGACGTCATTTTTAAGCTATCTGAGCTTCTATCAGCCAGTGGTGGGCCTTTTTCACAAATCATCGCTTAAATTGAGTAATCTCAAAGCAACATTTAGTTTACACCAAATGTTAGGCGTCATCTCAGTACATAATTTTGCTTTACATTTATTCAGACCCTTATCCAAAGAGTTATCTAAGAATACTTTAGGGGCTGGTTGGTAAAAACGAGCTTGATTGTCTTAAAACATCAAAACTAAGTTGTTAAAGGCGTAAAGGGAATGTTATTATTTTTACTTTCAAAATTAGTATGATTAGGTTTAAAAAAACGTGTTTCCTTTTCACATTACAAGTTATATTATCGTAACTTAAATAAGTTAACACGTTGCACAAGCATCTAGTAATAAATGTCACAAGCTACAAGTTTTTCATAAGATTCTATCACAGTAATAAATAATTATAACGCATTCCACAGGAAGTAATTTAGTAGGAAAATACGCTCATATCGTACTGTCGTCTCAGTATGTGTTTTATCTTTTTCAATAATGACGTCAGCATACATCAAACTTGTTAGGTCTATAGGATAAAACCAGACCAGACGCATTTTAGTGCGGTATCTCGATATCGTTCGACATGCGAGTACTTAAATGAATTCATGTGAACGTGTTTTAAACTTGTACCAGTATACCTGAATTTAAATGTTTACGATATCTGGCAACACAGCAATAAAGCAGCTAAGCTGATAGGTCATATCTTCATACAAACTTGTTAGTCTCACTTAGATATAAATTAAACATTTGTTATCTGCCACATATTTATAAGGTATATGCAAGAACGGATCTAGCTTTGGCGCCGGTGGGGGTCACATAGTCATGGTCAAATCAAGAGCTTGACAAAATATGTAAATATGTTTTGTTAAGCTCTTCACCAACTAGCTCTGGATCCGCCGTGGGGTAGATCTCTATTCTTTAGACCGATTTATTAATTAGATCCTTTTTATATTTGAACATTTAAAAAAATAAGAAAAAATAATCATCTTTTTTACAATCGCATATAATTTTACGTTATTTTTTTCACATTAGTACGTCAATATAATTGCTACAAACAATACCCATATAATACGCAGCAAAAACATGTAAAAGGCTAAAGTAAAACATATGTACAAATATTTAATTAAAAGACTATTGAAAATTTTGTTTGCTTTAAAAAAAATAACGTCGGTGCTTGGTAAATATAATACTTCGTCTTTACATTATTAAAACCACCATACTTGATTCTTCAATGATACTATTACGTCATTTGTGACATTTTGATAGCGCGGCATTTTTTTTTAAATAGCCTATAATATGCCAGTCTAAGTCAGCTACCCTTTAATGAAAGTCCGGTCGAAATCGGCTCAGTCGTTTCGGAGATTACCCGGAACAAACGCGGCTTGCGGACAGATAGACAGACAGACAGACAAAACATTTTAATTTTCGTTATCAGCAATGCAAATACATCATCTTCCAGAAATTTGGAATTTTTCTTTAGATATTACAAACACACTCCAATTTCATTACATGTATAGATAGATTATAAGAATCTTTGTAACGAGGTCGCGCACTGCTCGCGGTATTTTAATTATTATACCATTTAGTGAACTGAGCGGCGTATGATTGTGCAATGAAACGCAAGCGAGATACTAGTCATTTATGTTACCCTGGTATCTAACTATGTATTAAAGTAAAGTTAGTTTAACTTTCGACCGTGACTCTGTTCGCATGGTATTAAAAAAAGTCAAGAGTAAGTAGCCTATGTGTTCTTCTGGACTATATTCTAGATCTATGTCAAATTTAATCCAGATCCATTCAGCTGTTTAGGCTACAAACTCTAACAAACATCCATCCATCCATCTATACTTTCGTATTTATAATATTAGTTAGAAGTAAGATAACCTCTTGGTTAACTATAACCTTTTTCGGGTAAATAAAAATGATATGATATGCTTGTTTATTCAAATTTGGTAATAATTTGTTATGCGTTGATAGATAAAGAATAAACGGACGTTGATAGTTGATTTTACGCGTGGTTTTACCCACTTGGACATGTGAAAATCTATAGATGTAAGATATAGTAACCGAATTACATTTACTGTATATATTAGGATTAAGTAAATGTGTTTCGTATATATATTTATATATTTTTATCTATTTAAGCATATTTAGATAGGTTATTTCTATTTTTAAATTTTATAGTTTCTATGTTTCTTATGACGTATGTATGATATTTGTAAAGTGCCGTAAGAACGTTTATCGGGCACGGGCACCTACACCGCCCCGGGCCCGGTTAACGGCACTCGCATCGTCCGCCTCCAAGTCGACACACTTTCGGCAAAAAACGACCAAACTACCGCCATAAAGTTCGCGCACGAACAGGGCTGCTGGGTTTCTAGAACGAATTTACATTTTATTGACTGTCTCTTTTATTTTTATATGTAATTGACCTTAAACTCAAATAAATGCAAATTTATACCTAGTAAGTGTATGAAATAATACGTCCATTGATTCTTGGGTACTTTCTCTAGGTTGCTAAGTATGTATTATTTATTATGCATATATATACGACCGTAATTTTCTTTTATTTTTGACATAATCAAGATAAAAATATAAAATGTTGAATGATCTTCATTGAACAAGTTGGTAGCGGACCGGTTTCTGTTGAGCAATCGTGCGTAAATGTTTAGTTCCGGCGCACCAAAAGGATAATCATTACAGTGTCTATTGCCAGAATAAAAAATCTTAAGGTAATTGATTAC